ACTTTTAGAACCCTGGTCCAAATTATAAGACTATCCTAACGAGCACACAAAGATGGTGTCCGGATAGAAAGGTGAGAGTGGGTGTAAAGACTGTGTAGCCTCCAGACTGTGGCAGCGTCTACTCTCACTGCTTTCAGAAAAGATGTGAAGACATCTCTTTTCAAAGTGGCTGATAACACTATTTAATTTTTTAAAATAGAGATTATTTCAACTGTTTGTTGTTTTTAATGAAATGGGAGTCTCTTGGTCACACTTTTATTTGATTTGAAGACTGATTTTATTTTTCCTTGTTTTTATTTTGTTTTGAGCACTACTTATTAGTTGAAAGGCACAGCAGAAATGTAATGAAACAACAAAAAACAGTTTAGATTACCAAAAATTACAGAGCCATAAAAGGGGACCATAATAGCAATATGTTAGCTGAGTAGCTCAGAGAGTTAAGTATCCGGCAACAGAGTCAGAGGTTGGGAATTTGATTCCCCACTATACATCCCAGAAGAGCCAGTCTCTGTGGCTTTGGGCAAACTGCACAGTCCCAGGATACCCCCAGAAGAAGGGAATGATAAACCACTTATGAGTATTCTCTACCTGGAAAAGGTGGTCATAAATCAGAATAATCTTGATGGCATGCAGGTTTTTTTTAATAATAGCAATTTAGTGGCAGAGAAGTCCAAGAAGAGGACTGCCTTGTGGGATAGCCACAGAATTTATGCCAGCTTTTCCAACCTGATGCCTGATACTGCACTACAACTCCCATCACGCTGAGAAACCATAGGCTTTTTAAACTGTAAACAAAAAGATAGATGACGACCAACATTTAAAGACAAATTAAAAGCAATAACCAACAGCAAGGGTTGCTATTACATATTAAGGTTAATGGCAGAAAAAATAAAGTTTGAAATGCTGCTTTCTTGGGCTACAATTCTGAACTTGGAGGATTTTTTTTTTTTGCAACAAATGCCCACAAATCATTTGTGCTATCCTTAATGGTTAGAACACTCCAGAGTAGTGGTACAACCAGTGTTATTTTCCAGAATGACCAAGCTATGTGTACAACAAGCGCTATCAACTCAGATGACCAATCAGACATCTGGTATTTGCATTTATAAAGGATCCACCACATGTGGTAAGATCTTGGGCATGTGTACCAAAGTAGATAAAACATTTCATTACTCAGGGGTATTACCAATTACAAATAAGCTAGTACAAAGTACTAATAGCAAAGCACTTGAAACCAAATGTCTAGCAAAACAGGCTAAATTCTTAGTCATCCAGACAAGCCTTAAATGTTGTTTATGATGTCACTGTCAATGTGAGATCCTTTTTTAGTAGTCTATATCTGAAAATGTTGTTTATGATGTCACTGTCAATGTGTTGTGAGATCCTTTTTTAGTAGTCTGTATCTGAAGAAGTGGACTTGATCCACAGAAATCCACATGAAAATAGAATAGCTAGTCTTTAAGGTACCACATGATTTTGTCTTTTTTATTTTGTTTTGATTTTGCCTGATATGCTTGCACAGACTAAGTTGGCTAGCTCTACTAAAACTATGTTCTTTATGGCTGAGAAACACAAAGTGGCTTGATGGTCTATCAAAAGCAGGACTTTGTCCATAAGGTATAGAAGATCAACTGAATGAATAGAACTTATTACAAAAAGCATATGTAAAGGAGAATAGCTCCCGTTAGTACTTTACAACAGCAATTCTCAAACCTTTTATCAAAAGTACCCCACTAAGGGATCTGACATTGGGATAAAATTGATTTTTTAAAAATCAAGCCTTTACTCCCCAACGTGAGCCATCATCAAAATCGCTTGCGCTGATTTTCTGTGCTCCAAATAGATGCAGATACATGGGTTGTTACTGTGTTTAGATTTGCACAGAAAGGGCTTCATCAGAACTGATGCCATACCTGAATGGCAGATCTCCACAGCTTAATACACACACTGCCAATTTTGCAGAGTTCATTGTTTCTACATACCTCCCCCTTTAACTACACAGACTGAGGGAGAGCTAAGGAGAACCCCAAAGTTTGCCTATTTTGTGAATGTATAGTTGAATTTTATAAACATCGCCTATCTGTAGATTTTGGGTTTTATTTTATTTCACATATTTGGCCTTTTTCAAAAATCAAAGACAATGTTCCTGCCAGGTCAACCTTGTACAACTTTCACAATTCCTTGAGGTTAGAGACCCACTTCAGGACTCTAAGTGCACACATGTGCCTTTCACAGATCTACTAAGAACCCCAGTGTGCGAGGTTTAGAAGGACCCATGTTGCTCCTCTAAACCCTACACCCTGAATGTGGAAAGGGGATCTTGCACATCCTCCTCCTTCTATTGATTTTGGCCCATTGTGTAGTTGTTAGGCCCCTGAAAGCCCAAGACTGTTCTTGCTTTCCAAAGGATCAGAACAAATGGGGAGGTTTAAAGATAATGTGATCAATGATTATTTGACACAATGGCTATATAATTTTTCCTGTATCAAAGGTAGTCTAAGCTTCCCACTAAGAGTCACTGGACAACACAAGTGGAAGGATATTATTGTATTCATAGCCTGACTTCTGGCTTTCCACGGACAAATACATGTCCATATGGGAACAGAATGCTGGGCTATGTAGGACTTCAATCTGATCCAGCAGGGTTCTTCTTAAGCTGGGAAAGTGTCGATGTATGGATTTCTCTCTGAGCATTAGGAAAGTGTGTGTGCATGCAGCCATGCACTGGAGTGCAGGAGGAGATGGAAGGCCCTGTGTATGCCTTTGACCTGAAGCATCACAACATGCAAATCTCCTGGACAAAAAAGGTTCCCTGTTCCTACTCTCAAGGAAGTGAAATGGCAGGAGCTGCAACCTTGCCACCCTGAGGAACAACCGTTCTCTGTTGTTCTTTCCAACACAAAAACCTGCCTGAGTCTCTCCCAGGTTCCCACGCCCCCTGGGTGTGCTAAGAGTGCACTTGCGCCATAACGCCTTTGCTTTTCCATCTACAGTAATAACAAAATATATTTTGAAAGGCAAACGGTTGCTTAAGCCAAAAGTGCTTCAAGCTCCAAACAACTGGCCTAGTTCCAAACAGCCCGGTGGGATCCCAAGCGACACCTCCCAGGAGATGGATCAGTTTTTCACCCGATAGGGAGAAAACAGACAAAAACAAAACCAAGAACTGAAAGTGCCTGTTTGATGGAGGGCAACACAATTGGCTCTGAAGAGGGGCCCTCCCTCACCTTTATGGAGACATTCCAAAGGGATTCTTTGAAGCCTAGAGAAAATGGGCTATTAAAAGCAGCCAACTCTGCTTAAAATAAGCATAAGAAAAGGAAGTGATAATGGAAAGTGGGGGCACCAGAAAGGCTAATAATCCATGACTTCTGAAGACCTCTGCCCTATCAGGGTATATAAATTCAGCCCCAGGAGGCCTTGATGGAGGGGGGGGCAGGAGGTGTGCTGTTCCCTGCTCTCAATAGGAAGCAGTAAATAATTCCTTTAAAGTTTTTATTAAGCTTTGAGAGCCAGAGCCCGGGTAGAGCTCCAAGTGTTCGTCCTTCCTGGCCACCCACCTTGCACCTTCATCTTCTGCCTGGGCCACACAATTCAAACAGATCTAAAAGGCCAAATCGACTACGCAAAGAAAATACCCACAAAATCCTCTCCAAGGGTTAAAATGCATGCTGAGCATTTCTCTCTTAAGTACTGCCTCTGTTAAACCCTACTTGAATTTGCTAAGCTGCAGAACTCAGTCGCACTGCCTTAAGATCGAAACGCATATTTTCTCAAATTTTAGTTCCCCCATATTTTTACAGGCAATAACTCCAGTCCCCGCAGTCAAATCTACCCAACAAGTCTGTCCTATTTTTTTTTAAAGCGAGATGGACGCAGCCCCGTTGAACTCTCTCTCTCACAGACACACACACACTTACTTCATGGGCAGAAAACGTGTGGAACCCCAACAATAGCAAAGCCGTTGCAGGAGAATACATCCCACCAACGAGAGGGAGGTTTCACAACGCCGTGCAAAAACAAAGCAAAATCCATGAAAGCGTCAGGGCATTCAAACCTTACCCGTCCTTTTGAACACCTGCAAAATCACAGCCCTGCTGATTATCCCGATTTAAAGGGAAATTGAATGCTCTGGACTCTTCCCCTTTAACAGAGCGGAAGGGGGTGTTGCCAGTGAGCCCAGTGCACTACTTGCTATTTGCACACACACACAAATTTCCCGATCTGCATGTCTATTGGAAGAAATATATTGCACAAAAAAATTAATAAGTGGAGGAAAACGAGTGTCGCGCGATTTGAAAATGAAACAGCCGCGGCGTGCGTGTATTTGCAAGGACCTCGAGAGGGGGGGAAAAAGGGAAGGAAAGGGAGACACAAGGGTTTGGGGGAGGCCGGGCGGTCTGAAACACCAGCCACCCCAGCACTAGCGTTACCGGAGGCTCGCAAACACTAGAGTAAGTTGCTAAAGGCAATCCGGGGCCGAGGATAACCTCTCCGGCAAAGCCAAGCCAACATTCATCTCCTCTCTTCCAGGGGCGGGTGGGAAGGAGAGAAAAGGAATCCCGATCCTCGCTGGGATCCGAAACCTGCTGCAGGAACACGGCCATAAACCCCACCCCACCCCCGCGAAGAAAACCGGATCAAGTGCCCTGGCATTT